CTCATGCCGCCGCATTGCGTGGAAACCAGGTTTCATCAAGGAGTGGTTACCCCAAGAACTTCGTTGACTCTCTTGCGAGTGCCCTGAAGCTGTGGTTGGATGCCCCCGCGGCTTCGAAATGCGACCCTCTCGCCTGAGTATCGGCGGCACCTGCGGGAGGCGGGTGCCTGGATCATTGGCGTTGTGGCATCCTTAGGGGGAAAAATCACTGCAAAGTCGAACTCTCGTGATATTGATCGGTGGTTGGAGCGAGCCGTGGATTGGGGACACAAGAATGATGAGAAGCTTTACTGGGTCAGGTTGGGAGTGCTGGGGGTACAGCGTGCATTGAAACTATCCGGACCTTTACTCCGGGGTACTTGGGCCGCTCTCCGGGCTTGGCGCCAGTTGCAACCTGTTCGCTCCCGAGTTCCTATGTCCCACTTCGTGCTCGAATGCCTCTTGGTGACATGTCTTGGAAGAGGGCACTCGTGTTCAGGAGCGGCTCGTTTCGAGTGGTGGTCGGTCATGTTGGCAATCTGGCTTAGCTTTGAGGCCCTGCTGCGACCTAGCGAAACAGAGGCCCTCATGATCGGTGATTTGTGCTTCCCTGAGAATTCCGAACTCGCGGAGGGCGTCTCTTTGGTGGTGGGCATAAAACGACCGAAAACTCGTCGAGTATGGGTTCAACAGTTCGCACTGGTACAATCAGCATCCCTTGTGGCCTGGCTTCGTTGGTGGGTAGTGGGTGCCCCGCGGTCCCGCAAACTTTTCCCTATACCAAGACGTCGTTGGGCCCTGAGAATGAAAGAGGCCCTGGAAATGCTCGGGTTGCAAGGCTGCCACTACACACTTGGTAGCTTGCGCGGAGGTGGTGCTACGCATCACTTCAGGGTTCACAGAAACCTTGGCCAGTTGCAGTACGCTGGACGCTGGAAGCGGCTAGAAACCCTGCAGCATTATTTGCATGAGGCGCTCTCGGTGCAAGTAGTTGCACAGGCCCCAGAATCAGCATTACAGATGTTGCATACAGTCCATCAGCGTGCATCGTTTTTGCTGCAACCGCCGCCGCGTGCCCTTTCACAGCTCGTGTGACGGCCTAGTGGCATGACCCGCTTAAGCCAAGCGCTTCGTGAACTTGCTGCAGCCCTCGAAGAAGTTGAAAGCTCAGAGTGGGAGTTGGTTGCCCCTGCCTCGGAGCCGGAACCTGCTGTGGTACAAGGTTCCCGTGGTCCGTGTGCGCGAGCTCGTGCAGTGCGGGAGAGCCCACGAGCAAGGCCCTCTCTAGTAGCTGGTTCGAGCTCCTGTTAACTACCTCTTCACCTGGCCTCTCTCGTGCGGAGCCGTCCTCAACTTCCGTGCCGGAACTGGCAACAGCCTCGCAACAGTCTACCACGGTGACCTCGACCTGGGGGCGCAAGTCACGACACTACGTGATCCTCTTTGCGCCTCACGACCGGACGATCGAGGGGCATTGGTTTGGACAATGGATCTTGCTGGAGAAGCTCCTGCCCGACGGAAAGTTCTGCGGCTCTCGCGTACAGTTGAAGAAGGTCACGTCCCACGAAGCAGCCGAGGCAGAGTGGAAGAAAGTTTGGTCGGGCAAGCCGATGCCCTCCCGAACCCTGAAGTGACCAGCGCGGCAGCCAACAAGCTTCTGGCCGCGGTTCAAGCTGCAGCCGGTGAGTTGGGCGAAGCGCCAGTGACAGGAAACTTGAGCTCGGCGCAAGTTTTGCAGGACGAGTCTACGCGGCTCTCTGCCTCGCCGTTGGCGAGCAGGTGACCCGCGTCGTCGCTTCACCGCCGCATTGGCCAAAGTCCGGTTGGCGCTGCAAGAGTGGGCGCGTGGTCCGGCTTCTGCCGCCATGCGTCGTCAGCATGGCCCAGTAGATCCACTCCCGGTGAGGCCGCCAAACGGAAACGCTAGGGCACCCCCTACCTCCTCGACGACCTCGTGGACTGCTTGGCTTCAGCGCCTTCCTAGACCAGGGTTCACTTGGAAATGGTGGGTTGTGGCAGCTTTGGTTCTCTTGTTCCCAAGGCTCGTGGCTTTGTGTGCAGCTCTAGCAGTGCGGCTGGTGCT